AACGATAAATTCAGGATCTTCTTTAAGAATCATAGATGTCCATTGAACCCCCATTCGCTTAGAATAAAAAAAATCTGAATATGCTGTTTACTATGAAGTAATTTTAATTGCATTTTGATTTGTTTTAAATAATGAATGGAAACTTTTTTTGCACAATTTTTCTCAAAACTATTAGTGACTTTAATTCAAAAGTGTATTTGCTGCGTATCAATCGATGTGTTCCATAGAACAACAAGTAGAAAAATAAATCAAAATTGGTACTTGGGGAGTTTATTCCCATAATAATTCAGTTTTATTTTTTTATTCATTATTATTATTTTCCAGAACGTTTTATCTTGAGTTTATTATCAGTAACGTCCGCTCGGAGAACGTGCAAAACATGAATAGTCCAATTCTCAGTGTTTGCATGTGAGGAATTTTTTGCCACTACATTCTCCATTGGATGCTACAATAACCACTTAACCAAGAACATATTCATTATTCATTGTTATGTATGGACGGAATTATAGCATAATATCAGAGAAAAGACATTTTTGCTATTTTCCCGGCTAGCCGGAAGAATAGCCACTGCCATTTTTATATATTTATATCGATAAGAAAAAAGACAAAGGTACACAAAAGAACATATAATAAACATTAAAACAATACAAGAAAAACACTTGACTTAATATTTAAGACATATGATAGTTTTTCAACAATATTAACAGTACCAAATTTACCGCCACAGAAACGCATTTCAACAACTAATGTTTCTTCTGTGATGCTTATTAAATGTAAAAAAGGACAACACATATAGCCAAACAGAACAAGCAATCAGAGCTATGCATGAGGTACTACATTCCTTACATTTTATTTTCTTAAATCAAATAATTTCAAAAATTTTGTTACAGCAAGCTTAAGACATGTGCGTTTTAATTTTAAACAAAATATATCTTAAAGAAAAGTCGTTTGCATCTTCAGAACGGATATTTTAAACAATATTTATTTTGTAAATATATCATATGTATTCGGCTGATGCGCGAAAAAAATTAAAAGATTAATCTCAACAGTTGGAAAACAGAATGTGTGTTCAGGTGTTTCTTCTCAAGCATCATAAGTAACATTTGTTTCCAGGCATGTACACAGCCAGTTATGGTCCGCAAATTGTAAATATTTTTTTTTACAAGAAACCACATGAGCTACCGTTCCGCAGCTAGCACACATCAATTTATCTGGAAGTTATGTGCAAATTTACCCCCAAAAGGTAGAATGTCCTTTCGAAAATTGTATGTACGCCATCATTATATGGATGACCGTATTGGAATTTCTGTCTCACAGAAGACACAAGGAAATGTTTTAATTGTCGTAGCCAAAAGCCCGTCCTCTTCCACCAAGTTGTGATATGAATGATACGTATTACCGGATGTGTACTTGTGATGAGCTACTCGACGGGTGCAAAATATGTAGCAAGACGTTTTCTCGGAAGCACCTGAGATCACCCCAGACATTAGTGTGGTTTGTGTTGCTCAGTCTTTAGTTTTATATATAAGGGTGTCTAAGGGTTCAGGTTTATCTTTAAGAATTAATTAATTGATTCCTTCATACAGAGTGAAACCACTATATACTTTGTATGCTAATTGAAGTTGAAAAGATTGTAAACAAAAATCTGAACACAATATTTTTTATCACAAAATATGGATTTAAAAGTACATGTTAGCATATATGTGGATATTTTGAGATGTCATGCCATATTTGATATTATAAAGACATTTGACAAACATTCAAAAGGAAGAGATATTCTCATCATCGGATATTTACCTATCAATTTATTTAGGAGAAACTTTTTACCCTAGGTTTCCTCAGTTTTCGATAGTGTTCATAATGTTTGTCTTTTTTGTTTCTCTTTTTGACCACGTTGTTGTCTAACCTTCTTTGTCATTCTTTTGTATTTGCCTTCCATCCGTTGTATCTTTTTTAATATTTTTGTTTTTATATATCGATGTCTAGTGTCAAAGTATACATTTGTAAATTTGTAAAATATCTAACCCAGAAAGTGATAATTACTAATATCCTATCTCTTATTTATGATGAAAATTGCATATATTAATATAGAATGGAACAAATATATGTAAGTTACCCAACGAAAACTGTACTGTTTTCAACGATTTACAACATTTTTATTCTTTTCTTTGACAGTCGAAACATTTTGGATTTACTATTGTGTGCTTCTTATTCAACCAATTTTAATCGTATAAGTGTCATAAAAAGTTCATCTAAAACAAGTGTACGAAAGTGAACTGTCGCACAGTTATTTTAATTAAAAATGGAGTGATGTCGACATCATTGAGACAGTAACTCAACACTAAAAGACTGCGATGGGTACAACAATTGCCAAGATTATACACAAGTTTGAAATATCAGCAGCTTGGCCAAATTTTGAGACCGAGTAGATGAGTGAGATTTTTTTTCGCGTACTTGATACTAAAAACAAGCAACATTTCCAAATAAAGACGCATCATTACATCCTTAAATGCAAGCGAATTTACCCCATATCCTATTAAAACTCACAGCAAGACACCCTAATAAAATAATATGGTCCAAAAACTCATTAAATATACCAGGCTTACAATTTGTACGCCAGACGCGCGTTTCGTCTACATAAAATTCATCAGCTGCGCTCAAATGGGACAGGCTTAAACATGTTTTATGTGGGTAATAAGGTCATGCATGTGAATCGTATCTTAATTTGCTTGCTCTATAAATTATGTTGAGTTAGTATTTTTCCCCCGTCTTTATCCCTCCAAGTATTCAAGGTCGAAAATTATAAAAAGGTTCACAGTTCTCCTCATTTAGTTTCAAAATAACTTGAAAAGTCACTGTTTACACAAAATATGTTTGTTAATATCAGAAGTTATCCCTGTGAGATATTCCCCAAACGGTTTTAGACGTCCTTGGCGACATTTTGGGATTATGGTTTATTCAACATGTTTATGATTGATGCTTTTTGATGTTTATTTAGTACATGTATTTGGTTTCAAGCACAACTGAAGAACAAGATTTTGTGGGTAATTCTATACGCGAAATTTCCACAATATAATGTAAATTATATTAAAATGAATTTCTGCTGTGGAAACTGATATTGATATCACCAGGAGCTATACATTGGTAGATATTTTTAAAAATAATGTTGTTTATGTAAATTTTTACAACATAAGCCTTAACTGGCATATAGATGAAATCATTTACACTTACATTTATTATGGAAAATAATGAAGAAATAATATAAAAATTAATATTCATCACCCGAGACAACAATAAAAAAAAAAAACAAAAGTACGCCGCTTTAAATTGCTGTTTTTTATCTTGGCAATTGCCGAAATATCTATGACGATGAGCTGCAGTGATGACATGCAGTACTATTTGTGAAACCGAGACGATACATAGATTTTAGTGATTCTCAATTCATTTATAATCCCTTCATCTGTAATTAAATATCATTACACAAATGAAAAAAAAGGTCTACATAGTACAACAAGGGACAAAACCTCCTACAAGTACAATATAAAAAAAAGAGAATTGACGCGTTTTGGATTGTAATATTGTTTAGAAAATGGGACATTAATATGTTTTTGGGTACGAGATATGAAGATGATTATTTGCCTTTTTTGTCATCAAAATATCAAGGTGAGGCAAAAGAAACCGAAAAGACAATCGAAAATAAACTGACAACACATGGCCAAAAAAAAGGACAATAGACAAACAACAGTGTACAAAACGCAACACGAACCCTACCAAAACCGAGGGTGATATAAGGTGTACCGGAAGGGTAAACAGAACCTGCTCCCCATGTGGCACCCGCCGCATTGATCGTGTAGGTAAAACCCAGTGATAAGTCTAGTTATGTAGGTTACATTCGGGGAAAAGGAGGAAGGGATTGTGGTTACGACGATTGGAACATATCCGTCGTAACATGTGAAACAGATATTCCATAATAGTGATGGCGTCCGTTAAATTTGATTTCAACTTCACCACTTGGAACTTTTGGTTTAATAGCTTCCATATGAGTAGCAACTCTCTATCAAGAAAATCATGATAGGAAAGTTTTGTTCGAAACCGACCCTCATTGTCAATTTTTAGATGTAATTCAAGATACCAGGTAAACTTAACAAGAAAATCATGATAGAAAAGTTTTGTTCTAAACCCAACCTCATTGTCAATTTCTAGATGTAATTCAAGATATCAGGCAAACTTAACAGTGTTATTGTATCCTTTATTTGAAGTTCGTTGGAATAGATGCGTTCAACATAGTTACCAAACTTTGAATTATTTAGTGAGAGGACATCATCTATATAGCGGAACGTGAAGTTAAAAGATAATGCTAGCTTCTTTTCATTCTTCATAAGAAGCTCCTTATGAAGTCAGCCTCATATGAACAAAGGAACAAGTCGTCAAGATGAGGAACGCAGTTGGTTTTTTGCTGAAAACCCCATCCTCCAAACGTAACAAATATGTATTTAATCAAGAAATCAAGCATCTTAAGTACGATTTATCCCTTCCTAAGACAAGATACTTGTATCTAAATTGGCCATTCTTTTTTATGAAACAAAGCATGCCAGCTCTTTCAATTTGTCTTTCAGTTTGGAATGGGGAATACTTGTGTAAATTGTAGAAAGGTCAAATGTTTTAATACTATTGCAAGATGATATATAAAAAAGCGAACCTCAAATTCAAGATTTATTTTAATCTTTAACAGAAATATTGACAAAATATAAAATTTGTCATTTAATATATGATCTCATTATTCAAGCTCGAGTTAAAGTTATATAATAATTTCATTTGAATAAATGTGTTAATTAGCATTAAATTGTGTTTCTATAATAGCACATACGAGGTAAATGCCAAAGTACAACACTATCAGCCGGTAATATTATGATAATGTATGTATGGATATATATAGACCCATATAAATATATGTATATATGGACCGGTATATCGAGATTCTTATTACTTCCGTGTACAGAAGGGCGTTAAAATGGCGACGTCTATTGAGAGTCATGTCGTTGACATAACTACGTGTGCAATTTGTCTGGAGAAACTGAAGATTCCAAAGTATTTACCGTGTTTACATACATTTTGTGAAAGTTGCTTACGGACCTATATTACTGCTATATTTGAGAAGGAACACAAACAAAGTATTGAATGTCCGGTATGTAGGACCACGGTTACTATATCGAAGGAGGTCAATACACCTGATGAATGGGCCAAAGTGTTACCATTGAATTTCCTTATCGTTGGATTATTAGAGAAGGAAAAAGTTGAGAGACCACAAAAACAATGCATGGTATGTGAACGAATGGAAACAAAATCGGAGGCAAGTTTTATTTGTGTTGATTGTTCTGATTTATTATGTTCAAATTGTGAAAAACACCATAAAGCAAACAAAATCTTATGTGACCACGAAATAAGACAAATAAACGAACTTTCATCGGTCACTGATTGCATAATGACCTTTAAAAATAAATGTTTTGAACACAAAGGAGAAGAACTCAAATTGTTTTGTGCCGACCATCACACTCCATGCTGTTCGATGTGTGTATCAATCCATCATCGGCGATGTGAAAAGGTTCTTTCCATTGAAGATGCTGCCATGGAATATGCGAAATCTGATGAAGTCAAATATTTGAAAACCCATCTTGCCAATGTTGATTGTGATGTAAACGCAATCATAAAAGATCGATCCTCTGCAAAGGAAAATATAGATAAGGAGTATAACCAAAAACAAAGAGATCTTGAGGTTATTTTCAGTGACCTTGTTGCCAAAATTAATGATCTCAAAGTCAGACGAGAAGCAGAACTTCTAAAAATTTACAACGAGGCAAAAGAAGCGATAGATACTACTATAATAATTTTTCAAAACAAGCAAAAAAATATAGAAAACGAAAAACAAATTATAGATGCAGCCGTGAATATGGCATCCAATGTACAAGTTATGATAGAAGTTGAAAAGTTGAAGAAACATGTAGAAGAACATAAACAAGTTATTCAAAGCAAGATTAAGGATATCGTGAATTATGAACTATTACTTCAGGATGTAGAAAATATAACTAAATTAGCTGAACGAATGGAGAAGGCGTGTCAGATTTCATGCAAAAAAACAAACAAATATTTTGAATTGAGCAGTGTGACTGTCACGCCTAATGTCTCAAAAATATTCAGCTGCTGTCGTTTCGGAAAACATACTTGTGTTTGGGAAGTCAATGGTGCAAAACAAGACGCAATTTGTGTTTCGCTATCAAAGGAAATAGAACTATACGGACTTCTATCGTATGTATGTAAAGATGCATTGGCGACATGTGACGTGACCGCTATAATTAAAGACAATACAACAGATCTTGTTGTAGTGAAAGACACTTTAGATAGTAAAGTAGCCGAAAATAATACTGTTAAAATAATGTTCCCAAAACCCGTGAAACTTTTGGCTAATAAAAAGTACCATGTTGTTGTATTGATGAAAGGTACTTTATGTTTTGCTGGTAAAGGTGGGAAAACTGTAGTAGACAGTAACGGTGTAGTGTTTACTTTTGACAAGTCTCCACTTAGTTATAACGGAACAAATACCACCTCAGGTCAAATTCCTGGATTTGTATTCAAAATTTCTGATGAATTATGAATGTTATATTAAAACCTACTCCTTACATCGATAAGAACATTTAATATTTTGTGAAGTCATTTTATACTACTAATGATAAGAACAATAAGAAATTTATTTCTGGACTTCAAGTTGATTTTCAATCAAACTTTGACACATTCCCTGTCTCCGTTCTCAATTTTAATGTATAAAATACAAATCTTTGAAGAACCAGTCTACTGTACACTAACTGGTAATGTTCATTTAATTGTGAAAAAGGACAATTATTCTACAACTGCTTACATTTATAAAGTAAATGACTTTTAAATGTAATCATGTATTTGACAATGTTTTACAAAAAGTTATTGTAAGTTCTTTAAACATTAAAAATTATCCAGTGAGTGATAACTTAACTGATGACATCAGTGGTCAAATTCTCTGATTTGTTTTTTTTAATTCCTGTATGAAAGATTTTTTTCTTATTTATTTATGTAAAACAAAATGTTATGAGCTAAATGGATGAAGGTGTATAGTCGGCTATAAAAGGCTCCGAAATGAAAAAATGAAACAATTCAATCGAGAAAACTAACTGCATAATTTATAACAAAACAATTTACAAAAAACAAATATGACAGACAAGAAACAAACGACAACCACTGAACTACAGGCTCCTGACTAGGGACAGGCGCAATAAAGAATGTGAGGGGGTTATGTCTTGCTGTGACAAATGGTTTTTTTTTTTACATCTAATCCATTTACTTTGGAATAAAGGATACCATTGCTGAAGAAAAGTCTGCTTCAAATATTAACATATGTAGAAATTAAATATGCAGGTCGGTTGAGAACTAAATTAACTTAACGGGAAAACTGAAGTGGTCCCATTATGCACCGTTCATTTGTAGGCGGCAACATTAAAGCAGCGCCTACAAATGGAGTAGATATCTCCCATTTGATACGATATTCAATATACGCATACATGTTTCCTTTCATGATTTCCTTGATTCAGAGTTGTTGCTCTTAAGGAAGCAATTGAAACAGGGACTCGTATTTCGTATTTGTAAGGTTGAAAGTTTTACGGTCACCATCATAATTTAGTTGATCGCTATTGAATATTTGTGTCACAGATGACAATAGATATGTACCACTCATTCATTGAACATAACTTGTCATTATTTTTGTTTGTTATTTAATTGAACAACACGATGGGTGCAATGTGTGGAGCAGGAACTCCATACCATTCCGGAGCATCTGATGTCGACCCGGTTTGTTAGTGGGGTTCATGTTTTTTAATATACATTTTTCTGTCTATTGTTTTATGAAATGTTGGTTGTCCTTTATCATTTTACTCTGCTCATGGTGTTGTCCGTCGTTCTATCACTTATGGAGTTGGATTTTCCCTATTGGTATCAACTTCTTTCTCTTTTGTTAGTAATCAAAGGTGACTTGATAATGGAAATATGGTCACTCTGGTCTTCTTCTGACCGGCAGTAAAATTCTTTCCAAAGTGGGGCGTCTGCTTGACTGTCCAATGCCGTTGATCGTATGTCATATAGGAAAAGCAAAGAATGGGCGGAGCTTAGGGTTAGGTTTACAACTTCAATTAGTGTACGGATACCCGCCTTCCCTTTTCCCGAATTTAATTTTTTGTAAACTTTTGTGTATGTATTTTATTTAAATTTGTTCGGACATTTTATGGTCATTGTTTTCATTGATTACTATACCAAGGATGCGGAGCTGGACAGTGAAATAACAACTTCTGAGATGGAAGTTAGAGCACTGGTCTAAACTCCTCACATGCATTGCTTTTCCTATGACAAGCGACCAACGTTTACGTCGGGATTAGAGAGTGCAATAACTAAAAAAATCATTCAGTTAACGCACTCTTCTAATAATAATAGAAGTTAACTCACTCAAAGATCAAAGGAAAAATTATCATTCATGTTACACTATATCACGGTTTATTAATTATCATTGTTAACAGTATAATTGAATTGTATAATGAGAGAAACAATTATAATGTCAATATATGAACAGTGTATGATTCATGACTAATATTATAAAATAATATATAATCAAGACTTTATAGAGGAGGCATGTTGTCAAAAATAGTATTGTAATAAATATTAACACTTAAGGATGTTTGCTCCTTTTCTTTTCGAATTTTTGCAAGATTTTCGGAATCCTCTGGTTTTATCCATGTATTGCCATTACAAAATTTTGCCCGCTAACCCCTACTTTTATTTTCATAATTTTATTACATATAGTTTGAAAAAGCCATTTGATTATTTGAAAATCTTTTAAAAAAATGCTTGTTAATTTTTCATAGTTTTTGAAGCAAAAAAGCGGCCAATGTTAAAAAGTAAGAAAAATCTAGAGAGAATCATTTCCCGACAAATTTTCAATGGCTTATATCTCGAAAACAAGCACACGGACCCTCCATATTTTTCAGCTTTTTTAGTTCCTTTATTTATATACTATCATTTTAGAACAGTCTTTTAAAAAGCTTGTTATTTTGAAGCAGAGAAGCGAACATCCTTAATTATTTTCCATGCTACATGTCTGTATTGATTTCTGTCTATCGTTTTCACGATATTTATATGTTTTTTTCTTTAGTAGCAATCCTATTGTTTGGATTTTAAACTAATAAAATTCTTATCTTATCTTATCTTATTCTATCTAAATTATTTGAAGAAAAAGTGTATATCTCATGATTGAAAAAAAAAATTGAATGCAGTCTCTTACAGTTAACATTACGACACGACACGTCAATCCTAAATAACATGACAATAAACAGTAATTGTAAACATAACCCTAAATTAAAAATGGTTACATATATAAACTTGAAGCAAATGAATACCCGAGTAACGCTATAAAAGGGAATAACGTGGTCTATAAACGAAGAGGCTATATTGATAAATTGGTGAATATATAATAAGAAGATGTGGTATGATTGCCAATGAGACAACTCTCCACCAGAGGCATAGAAGTTAACAACTATACGTCACCGTACGGCCTTCAGCAATGAGGAAACCCCATATCGCATAAAAAAAAATTCAAACAAGAAAACTAACGGCCTGATTTATGTACAAAACAATGAACGAAAACAAAGAACACTTGTTTTTTATCGTGTCAAAATAAATATTCCAAAAATTGGTCACTGGATTTTCAGTCGTTTCATTTCCTCCACTTTTTAAAGGTATATCTCCGTGAATTGAGTATAAACTATTATACTGTAAAAAAGGAAAGGCGATAAAGAAAGAACAGTAGAGATTATGATGATAATGACAATGATAATGATGTGCGTTTTACCTATTTTGATGTTCATTTATACCACGAGGAAGCTTTTTCATCTCTTTATAAAATTTAAGACTTATTTAACAATTTGCACATTTTGATCATTGGAAAGAATATCATTTTCAAAAACCTAGCATGATTGTAAGTTGTACATATCTGTCTTGCGAGGTCAGTCAACGGACCTTGACCTAATTTTCATGGTTCAATTGTCAAATGTTTTTCCTGGTAAAGTCTGTTTATCAGATACTATAAGAATGCAACATGCCAACTATATTAGGTGTATTTTGTGTATTTTACTCCATCAAGACTATTTAGGAGAAAACCAATTTATCTTTTGAAAACTGTTTATTATCATATTTTACCTTATTTTATCTTTTAACAAGATTTAGTCTACTTTTATTCAGATTTTAAACGATATTAATCTATTATAACATCCATTGCTGAATTATATATGAAATAAGTAAATAAATAAAAACGAGTCCCTGTAAAAAAAAAAAATAAAAAAAAAGATATTTCGATTTTTTTTCTTCTCTTTTATATGTATATGCTGTACATTTTTGAGCTAAATTACTAAGGGTATATGGAGTTGCTCCTACGTACTTACAGGAGGATTATACACAGAAGAAGCATGAAATGATTTTAAGTTGTACGTATCTGTCTGTCAGTTATCTTCTGACCTTGACCTCATTTTCATGGTTCATTTGTCAATGTAAAGTCTGTGTGGTAAGATCTGTTTCTAAAAGCAATAGGTTAACTGTTTTTGGTGTATGTAATTATTATAAGGTGTGCATGCTAGTCTGGCAGGGTTCATCCGACCTGGACATGATTTACATGGATCATTGATAATGTCTGAATGTTTGGGTTTACATGTATGTGGTATTTGTAGTAAAATCTTTATGTATAAGACTTCCAACATAAAAATCAATCGTGATAAGTTAAACAGGCGAGACAGTTCAGCGTGTACTCTCTTGTTTTAAAGTTCTCTTCCATTTTAAATTATTATTATGTCACCTTGATAGTATTAAATTATTTTTCACCCTTGAGGTTTGGTTAAATTTTGTTTGGATTTTTTGTAAGGCTTTGTGAAATACTTGTGTAATATGTTGCCAATAAGATATCTATTCAATAGAGTCCCAATGATGTGGATGTAAGTAACATACCGCATCACAAAAAATAAAACTTCTTCCATATAGTCATCTATAAAAGGCCCTGTCATGACTAAATGTGAAACAAAACAAAAACAGCCTTATTTATGACAAAACGATAAAAGAAAAACAAATATTACAGACAGCAATCAACTGAACTGCAAGCTCCCGACTTGGAACAGGCAAATACAAAATGTGGTAGGGTTTAATATGTTTGTGAGTGCTCAATCCTGACGATCTAGAGACAGTGGTGTAATAGAACAACTTATGAACAAACTGTAAATATCAGTCAGAAATGACTGGTAAGATTGCAACGAAGCACAATAAACGCCTTAAACATACAGAAAAAGACAGTACTTTCAACTTCTGAAAGGTATAGTTCAGTGCTTAATTCAACTACATGTAACAATATTTCCCAAATGCTCTTCAACTTTGTAATTGATTTTGCCTTCAAACTGTTGATGTGAGTGCTACTGATGATGTGTGTGGTATACTAAAGTGTATAGATGGGAGGTCTGAGGGTCATTCATTTTCTTATTCTTTATTGTTTGGCAAATTTTTCTCTATCTTTTATCATTTTGGTTTTTATTCTGTATTTTTACCCATTAATCTCTATTCTGTAAACCCCATTAAAATCCTAATCTTTAGTGAGGTTGTAAATTTGTTCTCCCCTTAGCAATCCTTTTAACATACTAAGACAGTTTCTGTAGCCTAAATTTGATGGTTTTTTTCAGTTCGTAATATCTTGCCTGGAATGTATAGTTGGAAAAGGCAAATAATCACGCATAAATATTATATGAACACGCTTTAATTGTAAAATTTGTTTCTTCATTTCCAAGCCAATATATGATAAGGAGATGTGGTATAATTGCCAATTAGACATCTACCATAAATAAAATGATGTGGATGTTAGCAAATTTAGGTCTCCATAACGGCGGAGGACATTTGGGTGAATTGATAGGACATTTTAGTGGTAAAAATCGGACGTTTTGCGCCAAATCAAGCCCATTTTA